GCTCTTCATCACCAGCTTGATTCTACTAACTGTATGTACTATTTCCCCCAGTCCTCATGACCCACTCAACGTCACATGGAAGGTTATAAGTGCCATTACAGGGCACACCGTAAGCCAGACATCAGGTCTCCACCCTTCTAACTCTTGGTGGCTGACCCTCCAGTTTGACCTTTGCACGCTTGCCAATAGAACCTGGAACTCATGACAGACAGGTTCATGGCTCCCTGGATGTAAAGAATCACCCAAGTGAGCTATTTTACTTCAAACCCAATTCTATATCTGCCCAGGAACAGTTAGGTCCCAAGACAAAGAAAGGCAATGTGGAGGGCCACAAGCCTTTTACTCTGCAGCTTGGAGTTGTGAGTCTACTGGTTGGTTCAGTTGGAATGCTCCTGTCAAAACTGACCTCATCCAAATCCAAAGAGGCAGTAACACAACAGGGTGTAAAAAACCCCCTTGTAATCCCCATTAGGATTACTCATTTTCACACAATGAGGTCGGCAAGCCCAGGGACGGGAAGTAGGAAAAACCTGGCAACTAAGGTTATATCAGAATGAATATGATATAAAGATTACCATCTAAAGATTAGAATGGCTCCCTGCCACATTCACAGTAAAGTCCATAGGACCCAACCTAGTTCTAGGCCCCAGCTCACAAGTAAAGCCTCCCAAACTGCCCCCTCAGCTGACCCCATTAACTTCTCCCAGACAGATGTTTTGACTAATCCTCTCGTGACCTATTCTACACTTTCTAACCAAGTATGGGAATTACTAGCCAGTACTTTTCAAGTGATAAACCTTACCAAGCCTGAATTAAAAGCAGCTTGTTGGCTTTATTTTAGTATCCAGCCTCCCTATTATGAAGGTATTGCTATTGAAGGAAACCACACCCCAGGGGAGGCAAGTGCATGCCAATGGCAGTAGAACCGACCCTACCTTACCCTTCAGATGGTAATAGGGAAAGACACATGTGTGGGACAAGTGTCTGCCTCTCACCAGCCTCTTTGTAATTCTACCTCTCAGTGGAATGGGACCGGCTACCTGATACCCCTGAATAACGCTTGGTGGGCATACTCCACCAGATTAGCTCCCTGTATACATTCAAGTGTTTTAAACCAAAGCCAAGATTATTGTGTTTTAGTACAGTTGGTGCCCAGATTAATTTATTATAAAAGTGATGCCAGAAATGGGAAGTTGCCACAGCCTTCACCGTAGCCACTCTTTTAGGCCTAGGAGTGGCAGGAGGAGGTACTGGAGTATCTGCCCTGGTTCTCTAGGACAAGAACTATGATGCTTTGCAAGAAGCCATAGATTTACACATAGAAAGATTGGAAAAATCTATAACACTTCTTCAAGATTCTCTGACGTCTTTATCAGAAGTAGTGTTACAAAACCACAGAGGACTTGACTTACTGTTTCTCTAACAAGGTGGACTCTGTGCCACCTTAGGAGAAGAACGCTGCTTCTATGCTGATCATTCAGGAATAGTAAAAGAATCAATGGCCCTCATACGAGAAAGCCTGCATAAACGCTAGCTAAAAAGAGAAAAAGAACAGAGTTGGTATAAATCTCTTTTTAATTGGTCTCTTTGGTTAACTACTTTAATAATAGCTTTGGCAGGCCCTTTAATTTAGTTACTTCTATTCCTAACTGTAGGCCCTTGCATAATTAATAGACTCACTGCGTTTGTGCGGGAAAGAGTAGGAGCGGTACAGTTATTAGTACTGAGAAGTCAATACAATCAATATCAGCCACTTTAAATATAATGAGATAGAAATGACAACCATAGAAACAGCCCCATGATTGGGCCCAGATATTCACAAGTCACAGCACACCTTGTGATCAGACCACTGATCTGCACTGCCCCATACTCAGATCTTCCCCAAACCCCACCTACGACCCCAACCCCATAAAAACCCCATGCCCCAGAGCTCATGACTCTCCACCAGGATCCGTACCAGCCAAGCCCCCAGGAGTCCAAGCTCGAGCTTGCTGCAATAAAAGTCTTTTTGCTTATGCATCTGACTTGGCTCCTGGTGGTCTTTGGGAACAACGCGATCTGGGCACAACAGTATGTTGCATGTGTCTGAGAATGTATCTCATTGGGTTCTTCTAAGTTATCCGATTTGTTGGCATATAATTGTGTACAGTGGATTTTTAGGATCCTTTATACTTTTGTACTATCAGTTGTAATGTTTCCTCTTTCATTTCTAATTGTATTTATGTGAGTCCTCCTTTTTCTTCTTTTCAGTCTAGCTAAAGGTTTGTCAATTTTGTTTCTCTTTTCAAAAACATATTTTAGCTTTGTTGATACTCAGGATCATTTCTCTGGTCTGTATTTCAATTATTTCTGCTCTGATTCTTACTATTTCCTTCCTACAGCTGGCTCTGGGTGGTTTATTCTTCATTTTCTAACTTCTTGAGATACAAACTTGTTTATTTGAGATCTTTCTTTTCTCTCCTGTAGGCATTCATATCTATAAATGTCCCTCTTAGAACTACTCTTGCTGCACCAAGTAAGTTTTAGTACATTGGTTTGCCATTATTGTTCTCTATTTTTTAATTTCCCTTTAATTTTTCATCATGTCATTGGTTATTAAGGAGCGTGTTGTTTAATTTCCTAATTTCCATATTTTTAATTTTCCCCAAATCCTCTCATATTGATTTCTACTTTCAAACCATTGTGTTCGCAAAAGATACTTCATATGACTTCAATCTTTTAATTTTTTTTTTTTTTTTTTTTTTTTTTCGGTATTTGGTCGGTGCTTGGTTTGAACCCCTACCTCTAGTATATGGGGCCAGTGCTCTACTCCTTTGAGCCACAGGTGCTTCCTCGTTTAAAAAGTTTTAAGACTGGTTTTGTGACTTAATATATAATACTCTATCCTGGAAAATGTTCCTTTAGCAGGCCTAAGAAGAATATGTATTCTATTGCTGATGGATGCCATGTTCTGCATATGTCTGTTTGGTCCATTTGGTCTAACATAAAGTTCAAGCCCAATATTTGCTTACTGATTTCTGTCTAGAATCTAGATAATCTATCCATTGTTAAAAGTGACATATTAAAATCCCCTACTATTTTTGGTTTGCCATTTATCCCTTCAGATTTTTTAATATTTGCTTTGTATGTTTTATTTGCTCCCATGTTGGGTGCATATATATTTGTATTGTTATAGCTTCTTGATGAAGTAACTCCTTTATCACAAGATTCTGTCAGTTTTGACTTAGATCACGTTTTGTCCAAATATAGCAATATAGCTTCTGCCTATTTTCTTTCAGTTTTCATTTGTCAGAATATCTTTTTTTAACCTTATGCTGTGCTTTGGTCTGAATGTTACTGTCCCTTTAAATTTTGTATGTAACATCTTAATCATCATTGTGGTGGTATTCTGTAGCAAGTAAGGCCTTTATTGGTGATTAGTTCATCAGTATTTCACCCTTGTTGACTGGATTAGTGCTTTTATTTAAAAAATATTCATAGAGACTTGGTGTTTGTAGCTCAAATGGCTAGGGTACCAGCCACATACACCAGAGCTGGCAACTTTGAATCCAGCCTGGGCCCACCAAACAACAATGACAACTACAAAAACAACAATGACAAAATAGCCAGGTGTAGTGTCAGGCGCATGCAGTCCCAGCTACTTGGGAGGCTGAGACAAGAGAATTGCTTAAGCCCAAGAGTTGGAGATTGCTGTGAGCTGTGATGCATGGCACTTTACCTAGGGTGACAGCTTGAGACTCTGTCTCAAAAAAAAAAAAAAGTACTCATGGAACTTCAAAGTCCTGTCCATGTTCTGGGGATGTAAGGAGAAGGCACTATCTATGAAATAGAGAGCCCTTAACAAATGTCAGTTCAACTAGGATCTTGATCTTGGACATCCAGGCATCTACAACTCTGTGAAGTAAATTTCTGTTTTTCATAAACCACTCACTTAACTGTAATTGATTACAGTGGCCAAAATGTGGTATAAATGTATTCACAAGTTTTAATATAACTGCAAAGATACCTTGCTGATTATAACAAATATCCTTTGAATTTGTGAAATCTGATTTTTTTCAACTCAACCAATTCATCTAAAAGGATCACTGACATGGGGACAGCTTAAGTAAATAAGTTACCTACTTCTGCAATAAAAAAAACTTACACTAAAATATTTTAATCTTATTATTTACACCTCTATTTTCATATGAAAGATTAACATCTTTTATAAATTGAAGATGTTTCTGGTCAAAAATAATTTTAACTAATTTTGTCTGAAATGAATAGACATAAAAATTATACTTCAGAATCTCATTTTTGAAATTTTCAAAACTCTTCTAACCAAATATTTGTAAATGTTATTCAACCTTAAGATCATGACCATTGAGGTCTCTAGAGCTCTCAATTTGCATTGCCTTTCTTTATAGACATCTTTATTTTAAAATAAATGATTCCAGTGATTCAAAAATGATATATGTTAAAATTAGAAAATCAGAGAACACTCCATATGTAATGGAGTTAAGAAACAACTCTTAAGTCCTATTATCAATGAATACAATATAGAATTTCACTTATTTCATTGCATTCCCTGCCAACTTTACTTTGGCAAATATTAATTCATGTTGCAGAGTATTCTGTGTGTTTTTGTGTGTAGGTCTCCGTGTACACATATGTGGATGTGTTTACAATTGATAGAGGATTTTTATCACTTTGTATGTAAGTGTTGTAATAGCAATATACACAATTAAACTTTAATTCCTCTTTACAATTAGTTTGATTTTTAAGTCTGCTAGCTTTACGTCTTGTAAAAGTTTATACATTTCATCATTTTTGTGAATTTATTCATTAATAATGACTAATGACAGATTTTATTGCTAATTTAAGTTATGACTTGGGTTGATTTTTTCGTGTTTATGAAGTGATACAATTTCAAAGACAGAGACAACAACATCTTTTTCATTGACTAGAGAACAGAGAACCTCAGAAGCTGTCTTTGAGGTATTTTGGAAGGTAATAGACATAATGGTCTCTAACATAATTGCGTGTAATTTCCTGACAAAGATATTTCATAAATTGAATATAGAGCAGTTTTTTATCAAGGTTTAATATGGCCCTTTTAAGAAGTGAGGCACAGTTCTCAGATTGTAATTACATCATCTCAAATTGCAAAAATTCTGATTTATGAATAAAAATGAGTTAAACAATATTTGAAATGTAAAATTGAGAACTGATAAAGGTGTGGATTTTAATAAAGCTAAAAAAAGTCCTATGCACAACGGGGATATATCATTTTCCCATCCTGACACATTGTTCGAAATGGGTTATATGTTGCTTGATGATATCCATATTTGCATGTAAATTCAACTTCTTCACCCGATCTGGAGTAAAGCTTTCCTCTGTCTCGCCACTTTAATGTTATGTTATATTTTTCCATGATTTCTTCTGATATTACACATGGTTCTAGGATAGAAAAAAATGAACATAAAACATTTAGCTGTGTTATATAATGGTTCAGGAATGCTTTCTCAAAACCCTTTCCAAACCAACTCTGTAAAAATATCTTATGAAAATTAAAATGGTAAATGATATATAAATCAGGTTCTAGGTTTAATGTGTGATATTGTGTGTTATTACCAAAAATTCATATCACTGACCTAAAAAGCCTAGCATTTTTTAAACTACCATCACTGTTTTTGTTTGAACAAAATCTTCGTCAGATGATACAAACATTTAGTAATAAGATGAATAAGATGTGAGGATAATGTATAGCATGATCTATAGTTAATAAGGCTTTGTTTTTAACTTGAAGTTTTGTAAGAGAGCAGATTTTAAGTGTCTTTACAACACATACACATATTCATAATAACACGTATGAGTAATGATGAATGTGTTAATTTATTGGATTATTGCATCATATATATATATAAGATCATCATATCATACATCATGTATATATGTATATATACATTGCCAATGCAAAGTTTTAAAATAAGTATAAAAATAAACAGAATTTTGTATACTAGAAATATTAATATGGTTTTTTATTATAAATATTTGGTAGGCAAGAATTCAGCAGGATGGCTATGTGTATCCTTGAAAAATTCTATTATAAATAACAAAATGTGATACTTATATACTGACTTTTCCATGATCCATGAGAATATAAAAGTACTTACTCAAGCATTTTGGTGGTTCCGACCACTGTCCATTACTACATGTTATTCGCCTGTTACCCTGAAGTTGATATAAGTTCTGACACTGATATTCAACTGTTGAATAAGGAGCATATACTGCTAATGGGAATGAAGTGATGTCTCCATTTTCAATAGGTGGAGGGGTCTTACATTTTCCTTTAGAATCTAAAAAACATCATTTATTTGATTTATTGAGAGAACACATCTAAATACAGCTTTAAATAAGGCAAATAGAAACAGACCACTTCCCATAATATCAACATTCTTGTGATTTCTGGGGACATAATTAGAACAAGAAATTTTAATTCTATAAATTGCTACATTTTTAAATGTTGTTTTTTCTTTTTCACTAAAAGCACACACAAAGCATTAAGAAATATGTCTACTTTGCAGGATTCCAGGGTCAATAAATATCTTTCTTAGTGAAAAAGTGCTGAACAGATAGCTAAGTCAAACAGAGAAAATCTCTTCTTTTAATACACCATATGCTGAGGAGTTGGTTGGGTATTACTCATTTTTTTTCTTTTGGTTTTCATTTTCATCACAAAAGAAACACGAGCTCCATGAAAAAATTAAAAATACAAATCTATTCAAGGTAAAAGGAATAGTTGGCTTCAAAACATGTACAAAATGTACATCTACTAAGTATAATTCAAACTCCTGAATATAATGAAAAAACAAAAAGAAAACCACATCAGAGGATTCTGAAAGATGTAGAGAATTCTTTCTAGTGAGAGATTTCCAGACTCCAGGAAAGGCAAAGCTGTGTCTTATTCCAAGAGGGGCCCATTCTATTTAGCTGAATGCTCAGATTAAAAGTAACCAGAGAAGACAAAGCCTTTTTTCCCCCTAGCAATATCTTGCCTCCTACAGGAAAGCATAATAAGAAGCCAATATAACTTTTTTCAATTGTGTTTGCTGTTTGAAGCAAAATTATTTCATTTAATATGAAATATGAATGTAGGGACAGGAAATACAAAAGGCATTAATATTCAACACATTCTAAATGAAAGTAATGTTTCCCTAATTCACTTGAAAGGTAAGATGTCAATACTGGTAGAGAGTAAGAAGTTACATTGTTTAAAAAGGAATAAAACAAACCATAGTATAAAGATATACTTAAAAATAGTAAACGTGAGTAAATGTAAGATTCTTTAAAAGTGTTCTCAAAAGGAATGGAGGAATAGGGAAACAGGACTGTGTGTGAGAGAAAACAAACACAAACAAAATGACAGACATAAATCCTAACACATGGATAGTAACTTTAAACATAAATGTTCTAAAGACACAAGTGAAAAGACCAAGAATGGCATGATGGATATGGAAAGAAGATCCAACTATGTGTTGTCTGCATTAAACTCATTTCAACATAAAAACATGTGTATTCTAAGTAAAGAAATGAAAAAAAAAATACCAGGAACAATGTACTTTTTTAAAAAGTAAAAGTGGATAATATCAAATTTTCTTTGTTGGATTCCAGATTTCCTGAACCCTAAATATTAAAGTGCCCAAGACTATGTCCCGAGGCTTCTTTTTACAAATGTAGTGGTTCCCTGGAAGGGCTCAGTAAGTCACATGTCTTTAAATATACTCTAGATGTTGAAGATGCCCAAGTCTATATCACCTTCTAGGATCCTTCTTCATCTGTCTATTATACACTTAAAATGGTGATCACTTAGGGCTGTCAATTGTACATAATGTGTTTTTTATACTTTTATTGCTCAGGAAATATCTGAATGTCTTAATGCTGAAGACAAGAATTGATTCCAAATTCCAATTATTCCTTTACTCTAGTTGAATCTTTCTTGGAAATAAATACTGTGTTATTTGGTTGAATTCACAAAAATTTAAATTTTAAGTGCCATCATTTTATTTGTGTTTGAAAAGTATATTCTACATGAATTACTTCATTTTACTGATATCAGCATATTTTGCCCCTGATAGATATTCTGGGAAAATATAATATCCTACCTTTGCATTGAGGTGGCTCTGTCCAGGTTCCATTTAGACACACCACTTCTACTTCCCCAAACATGTCAAAAGGTTCATTACATTCATAATGCACTCTCTCACCATTTGGATACCTACTCTTCTGTCTTGTTGTTATCTTAGCATTTTCCACTGTGGGTGGATTCACACAGGAAATATCTGAATAGAAAGAAAAAAATTATTTCTACATAGTGCTCATTTTGAGCAAATGCACTTCATAGGGGATTTTTAATTCAATAAATTGTCTTGAGTAAAAGGCTTTGCTAATTTAAATAAATTCAGATGTAATATTTAGGAAAAGGAGAATGCCCCTTCTCTTTCCTTAACCAGAACATTGATAGTTTTTTTTGTTTTTTCCTTTTAGTGATCAGTGAAAATGAAAGTTTTCCTGGACATTTGCTTGTCAGTTTTAGTTGAATAAATATTACAGGTCCTATAAATTTAATAAGAATTTAAGAAATGCTAATAAATCAAAATAACTAAATTACGTGGCATAACATTTTAGTTTGCAATCATCTGTTTGCTAAGTGTAATTTTAGCTTCTTAAAAACAAACACATTGAGACTTTTTTCAGATATCAAGTCAATGATTAAAAATACACCTTGAAGAACACCCTACTTAAAAGAAGAAAAATATGATTAATCATAGGACCTACACTGAAGTTGTGAACAAATAACTAAAAAAAAGTAC